CATTTCCATCAAGGAGGTGGGTATTACCTGTTAAACCACTGTATGGCGTGAGGCAGGTCCAAGGGACGGAGATGCACTTGTGTCCCTGAACTAGTTGTTCAGAGGGCAGCTCTGATCAAATCCGGCTCTGCTACTCTTCAGTTACACAGCTTGGAACTAAGGCCACAGCTGTGCCTGGGCTGTGGCTGACCCTCTCTCTGAACCTCAGTTTCCACCTCTGTAAAGTAGGGGTAATGGTGGTGCTTATAAATGGCATTAACCAAGTGTTTGGCTGTAAGCAACATAAACCAACTCTGCTCACTTTAGCAAAAAAAGCATTTCTCTCTCTCTCATTTTTTTTTTTTTAATTTAATATGAAGTCTCACTCTGTTGCCCAGGCTGGAGTCCTGGGCAGCTCAGTCTCCTGCCCCAGCCATTTCCATCAAGGAGGCGGGTATTACCTGTTAAACCACTGTATGGCGTGAGGCAGGTCCAAGGGACGGAGATGCACTTGTGTCCCTGAACTAGTTGTTCAGAGGGCAGAGGCAGTCTCGGCTCACTGCAACCTCTGCCTCCCAGGCTCAAATGATTCTTCTGCCTCAGCCTCCCGAGTAGCTGGGATTACAGACACCCACCACCACACCCAGATAACTTTTGTATTTTTGAGGCAGGAGAATTGCCTGAACCCAGGAGGCGGAGGTTGCGGTGAGCCGAGATCGCACCATTGCACTCCGCACTGGGCACCAAGAACGGAACTCCAAAAAAAAAAAAAAAGACGAGGTTTCACCATGTTGGTCAGGCTGGTCTTGAACTCCGGACCTCAGGTGATCCCCCCGCCTTGGCCTTCAAGGTGCTTGGATTACAGGCATGAGCCACCATGCCCGGCAGAGATTCAACCTTGTTGCAAATCACTGGGTTTATTCATCCCTGTTGCTGATCAGTGTTCCACTGTGTTAATATACCACAGTTTATCCATTATATAGCTGTACTTTGTATAGTTTTTGGTATGTATGGAATATTTTGTCAAAATAATTTTTAAAATAAATAAATTACATGTTAAAACTATAATAACTGCGTGATGATCTACCTTAGAGTTTTTGCTAGCTGGGTGTGGTAGTTTACACCTGTAATCCCAGCACTTTGGGAGGCCAAGGTGGGGGGATCATGAGGTCAGGAGTTCGAGACCAGCCTCTCCAATATGGTGAAACAAACACTTTTTCTACTAAAAAATACAAAAATTATATGGGCGTGGTGGCGCATGCCTATAGTCCCAGCTACTTGGGAGGCTGAGGCAGGAGGATTGCTTGAATCCAGGAGGCAGAGATTGCAGTGAGCCAAGATTGTGCCACTGCACTCCAGCCTGAGTAAGACTACGTCTCAAAAAAAAAAAAAAGTTTTTGCCATTCAGAAGGATGAATCAGTCCATGTTAGCCTTCTCCATGAGTAATAATGCACTCCTCAGGGGTTCAGGAGAGGTCTGCTGTATGCCAGACAACCATAGGGAAAGTCATTCCAAATCATTTACAGGACACTGACTGGATACACAGTCTTGTGCTGGGTTCTATGGAGGACCAACATGAAAACTCAGTTTCTTCACTCATGGCTGACATTTCTTCTTCTTATTCTTTTTTTTTTTTTTGAGACAAAGTCTTGCTCTGTCGCCCAGGCTGGAGTGCATGATCTTGGCTCACTGCAGCCTCCACCTCCCGGGTTCAAGCAATTCTGGTGTCTCTCAGCCTCCTGAGTAGCTGGGATTACAGGCACATGTCACCACACAAGTCTAATTTTTGTATTTTTTGTAGAGATAGTGTTTCGCTATGTTAGTCAGGCTGGTCTCGAACTCCTGACCTCAAGTGATCCACCCAACTCATGGCTGACATTTCTTAGGAGTGAAAGAGACCTCAGAGTGTACTTCTAGACGGACAGGAGCTAGACAGGCGGGACCACTTCCTTGCATGGAAAGTTGTTACTTGAGCCTTTTAGCTGATATGGAATCAGCAGAGCAAAAAGGTCATCTTCAGAGTGGCCTGGACCGGGTCCTTTTCCCTCCAGGACAGAAAGGTGATGGTCACTTTTTCCCTAGTAGACATGCAGCTGGACTTTATCTCCCCAGCATTCCCATCCCCTCCAGAGGCCCATGTCACTCCAGACCCGTGAGTGTGGACCTTTATCTGGACTCTGCTTCCTCTCTGGGGATACCAGGTCTTGGAGCAAGAGAACTTGGCAGGCTCTCCCCATGGCGGTCCTATTCCTCCTCCTGTTCCTATGTGGAACTCCCCAGGCTGCTGCAGGTAAGGGGCAAAAGGTAGGGAATTCCTTAGCTATTTGCAAGGTGGGGAAGGACTGTTGCTCTTTCTCCTAGGAGCCTGGTGAAGGCATCTGACTTGAAGATAGAATTACTCCAACTGACCTCCTCCTGCCTCTGACACTAGGGAAGATCCAGAGGCAAGGAGGGTCCAGGTTATGCAGTTTCCTTTATAAAACATGTAGAATGAGTAAATGCTTCCAGAAAAGTAGAAATGAATAGAAGAGATGTGGGCATTTGCCAACTCTTCCAGCCTTTTCCCTCTTGCCCTCAGACCCCCTCACTGGCCGGCGGGGAGGGGAGGAAAGCCCTTACCCTCTTCTCCCCACCTGTCTTATTTTTGTAGCTGTCACTTGAGAAACATGGTCACCAGCCAGGTCCACGCTTGGAGACCCCGGAAGGGAAAGAAGCCAGGGTTGAAGATCAAATGAGGGGTTGTTGATCTGATGGAGGTCTCTGGCCTCACACAACCCTCTTCCCACAGACAACATCCAGGCCATCTATGTGGCCTCGGGGGAGGCAATGGAGCTGCCATGTCCCTCACCACCCACTGTACATGGGGATGGACACCTGTCTTGGTTCCGCAGCGCTGGAGCAGGCTCCTTCACCACCCTGGTAGCCCAAGTCCAACTGGGCAGGCCAGCCCCAGACCCTGGAAAACCAGGAAGGGAATCCAGGCTCAGACTGCTGGGGAACTATTCTTTGTGGCTGGAGAGCTCCAAGGAGGAAGATGCCGGGCGGTACTGGTGTGCTGTGCTGGGTCAGCACCACAACTATCAGAACTGGAGGGTGTACGACGTCTTGGTGCTCAAAGGTGAGTGGGGGCATGCAGACCAGGGGCCACTGTGGGCTAGGAAGTCCAGGCGAAGAACTAAGGGATCCTTCTCTCCCCTACAGGATCCCAGTTATCTGCAAAGGCTGCAGACGGATCCCCCTGCAATGTCCTTGTGTGCTCTGTGGTCCCCACCAGACGCATGGACTCTGTGACCTGGATGGAAGGGAAGGGTCCCGTGAGGGGCCGTGTTCAGTCCTTCTGGGGCAATGAGGCGGCCCTGCTCTTGGTGTGTCCTGGGGAGGGGCTTCCTGAGTCCAGGAGCCGAAGATCAAGAATCATCCGCTGCCTCGTGACTCACAACAAAGGGGTCAACTTTAGCCTGGGAGGTAAACGGAGGGAGGAGATGGAAAGGGATGTTATTCCACCTCAGCCTCCCAAGTAGCTGGGATTACAGGTGCCTACCACCATGACTGGCTAATTTTTTGTATTTTTAGCAGAGACGAGGTTTCACCATTTTGACCAGGCTAGTCTTTAACTCCTGACCTCCAGTGATCTGCCTGCTTTGGTCTCCCGAAGTGCTGGGATTACAGGCGTGAGCCACCATGCCTGGCCCTAATTTTGAAATTTTTTGTAGAGACAGGGTCTCATTATGTTTCCCAGTCTGGTTTCAAACTGCTGGTTTCAAATGATCTTCCTGCCTTGACCTTCCAAAGTGTTGGAGTTACAGGCATGAGCTACCACACCTGGCTATTTTTTCTTGAGAGGGTGAATTACTATGAAGGATGTGAGGGGAAAATGTAGTTATGGCTGGTGGTCTGCTCTGTAGTTGGCTGCCCATGTGTGAGCAGGGGGCATTCCATTCTCTACGTTTTTTGTTTTTGTTTTTGTTTTTGTTGACAGGATGGGGTCCCATTCTCTGTTTTTTATTTTATTTTATTTTATTTTTATTTTTTATTTATTTATTTTTTTTGAGACGGCGTTTCACTCATGTTACCCAGGCTGAAGTGCAATGGCACGATCTCGGCTCACCGCAACCTCCGCCTCCTGGGTTCAGGCAATTCTCCTGCCTCAGCCTCCTGAGT